ATCGCGATAAATCTTCTTTCTATCTGCTCAGCGTACGCGCAGCTAGCCACAGCAAAACACAATATTTCCTGCATCGTAGATAGAGTCGTCCCCCTCGGTAAAATGAGCGATTTTAGGGATGTATGACGAAGAAAATACGACGGACTAGCGCGGAGCCCTATCTAATGTCTGAAATTTAGAGTATAAGCATAGAGGTAACTCTACGACCAGAAGGTCCCAAAGAAACGAGCTCAACTTTTTGGCTCAGCTCTGGTACTATCTTCGGTCTCAAGCTAATCGATGCACCCCTCGAAACATAGGAAAATCCACGAACTCCTCATTTATCTGTCAAACTTTCATAGCGAATCAAAACAAACATAGTGTAGTACTAGAATTTCGACTAGAATGGGGTGCGTTAATCGATTTGCTTGGGACAAATAGGCTAGTTAAGTAAGTTAAGTAGTGAGCCAATTTAAAATCGTTAGTTGCCACCGGTTGGTATAAGCCCCTAAATCTTGAGCTTTCTGTTTATGAAACTTCGATTTTTTTAACTTTATTATTGAGATTTTAAGCCAACGGGCTAGTTTATCTCAAGGTAAAATTGCAAAGTGTGATATGAATGAGGACTCTTTAAACAAACATTTGCTTCTAACAATTTTACGGATTTCCGGTTTGTTTAAATTTTCCGCAAATTGTGAACGATTAAGCGATTAAGGATCTTATTTAGCGGAATTTTGATTACAACATGATTTCAAAATCATATGATTAAAAGATTTCATAAACAACGCTGGTTTAATAACTCTTATTATTAAAAAGACTGACTGCTGAAGTTCATAGAAACTCCCTAAAGTTCGTAGAACTTCCCTGAAGCGTTAAGGTCTTTCCTGAAGGGTTCATTGAAGTTTGTATTGCCTGAATTTCATGGGACTTCCCCGAAGTTCGAAGGACATTTTTTTAAGATCTGAAACTAATGTTCTGCCCGACAACAACTCAGCAGCACGAGACTCCTTGAACTGTGTCTCAGAGTCGGCGCACTACTGGGCAAACTGGAGGGGCTACGCGGATGAAAAGGCACTCAAGCTTTCAACTAAACTGAAACACAACGCGGATCAATTTAATCACTGTATTTCTCCAATTACCGATAGTGTGGATTGTGTGGTGTTGTGTTCGATTTTATTGGCACATACCCTTGATGACGATGGCGACTACGACGACTGCAGACCAGCGAGCGCTCGCTGTGGTTCCGGAAAGATCCTTAAAGGCCGATCTTGTCGGCAAGATGGCGGTACCACCGCTCGGTGAAATTGCGGTACAATTCCGACAATGGCGGACGAAGCGAGGCTGACCGAACGTCGGCCGTAGTGCGATGGCGGGTTGGTTTTACCGGGCTGGTATAGCGGTTTGTGGAGATGGTTCCGATGCACAGGCGCTTCCTTCTGACGAAGCCGGTCGACGACGGCAAGGCCGCCCTCTGTCGCACCGGGAAGGGAAATTCTCCTTGGCGTTTAGGGCCTTCAGCCCGAGAACAATGTCCTTTACGGTTAGATCAAGGTAACTCAATGTCACCTAGACCGTAGCGTGCAATGGCGGTCCTTGACTCGCCAACCAGAAAACCATTTGATTGGTTGAAAAGAAAGGTCCTGAATCAGCTGAATTGGTGATTTCCACTGCACCTTGATTCACTACTCGCACTGTTTTCTGTTAACATGTATTCCACAGACACTTCTGGTCTACACGCTCGCCTGAGATAAAGTGAACGATGGCCGTTCTCTAAGCATCGTAGAACCCTTCAGCTCATCACCCGTGACTCCGTGTCACCATTTTGCCGCGGCCATGCGCGCCTTATTCAGCAGTCGGCCGTTAAGCATGGCCGTATCGTCTGCCCAGTGGGTTTCACCGCAAGTGTTACACAAATTTATTTGAATGCTCGATCACATGGTGCATATTTAAAATATTGTATTGAACCTTTGTAACAGAACGGTTACAGATCTTAGAAGTTCCCTGAAGTTCAGAGTTTTTTGAAATTCATAGGAATTTCTTAAATATCGTAGAAGTACCACGAAGTTCGTAGAAATTCTCAGAAGTACGTAAGAATTCCTTCAAGTTCGATATATGAGGACCCTAAATTTAGAAGAGTTTTCCTGAAGTTCATAAGGCTTTAAATATCGAAGGGTTTTTTTTTTTCCAAAATTGTGTGGGTCTTTCCTTAATTTCTTGGAAATTCCCTGAAGTTTGGAGAGCTCCCATGAATTTCGTAGGATGGTTGGTTGGTTGGTTGTCTTTATTAAGGAGATTTTCAGCCAGACGCTGGTTCATCTCCGGGGCAATTTCGTAGGACTGTAGCTCAATCAACTTCTCGGAAGTTCTAGGAACTTTTTTGAGCTTGGAGAACTATGTTAAGTTCAGAGGACTTCCCGAGAGTATTGAATACTTCTCTGAAGCTCGGAAAAAATTCATAAGTGTCATAGATTATCCTTAAGTTTTAAGCAATGCCTAAATGTCGTAGAAGTTACATTCAATCTGTAGAAAATTCTGTAAAATTCGTAGTTATTCCCCAAAGATTAATGGATTTCCCTGAAGTTCGTAAGACTTCTCTGAAATTTGTAGAACTTCTCTGAAGGTTCGGAGAGATTTCCTGACCGTCGTAGGTCATAACAGTAGTTCACAGGATTTTCCTGAAACTTATAAGACTTTCCCGAATTTTGTAGAACTTGCATGAAGTTCGAAAGCCTTATTTGAAGTTCTACAATAGAACTTTTTTATTGAACATGTTGAACAGGTACTTCAAAGTAGTTACTCGTCGGCACTGTTAAGTCTGCTATCAATTAAGCACAAGTCATACATGCAATTGATTCGAGAAAAAAATTAAATTAAAAATAAAGACAAAATATATTTACTAAATTCTTTGTTCATCAATGTTTAGTTGTGTGAAAGATTTAGCTTGAACAAAATGGTTAGTTTTGACCTGATTTTAAAAAGAAATTTTGACATACATAAAATTTAAAACCTATTTAAATTATACAAACAAGATTATTTTCCTGGTGGACTTATGAAATTCCTGGTTTTTTCCCGGTTTTTCTTGGTGAAAATAAATTCCCGACTTTTTCCCAGTTTTCCTGGTTTACTTGCCACCCTGGGGTACGTTAATCGATTTTTTTTGGGACCAATAGGCTAGTCAAGTAGTGAGCCAATTTTACACTCTAAAAAAAAGTTCACGTCAGATTTACGTCAAATATCACGAACCTGATCTGTATTTAGAAAATTTCAAATGTTACGTGACATTAGTAACTTTGACCTGCATTACACGTCATGTCGACTAAAAAAGTTGGTGAAATTGACCTATATTCCAGCCATGCCTATTATAATCTTTTATCACCCATATTCTTGTTTTCGTTCGAACCGTTTTTTTCATACAAAAAACTTTTTTTTTTGTTTGGAAAATACGGTTCAAACGAAAACAAGAATATGGGTGTATATCATCTATTCTCTCGTTAAAATCCACAGCAATTTACAAAACAGGAACAGTACCCGAAGCTTATTCTAGTTTTTCGCTATCCTATGCCACACATAAATCTAAATCGTAATTGAAATGTAGCTGATATATTATAAATCAATTTAAAATCGACTTTCATCTAAATGACAATTCAATTATCAATATGGTAGATTCATTACGCTATATTGCTTATTGCATCTGAAACTGGACTGCCCCAAAAATGCAAAAAGTGTGATAGAAGTGCACATTTCCGTCAAATCGTTTTGATGTCTAGGGAGCACTTATTGCTTGCATCATAAGGAATAAGTGCACTTTTTAATAAGTGAAAACGCGCTTATTAGTCCAATTTGGTGTGAAATGCGCAATATAATCGAGATTTTTACGTCTTGCTTTGGAAACCGACAGAATTGAAACCACTTTACTATGACGACGCTGTCTTTGGGAAACCAGAAGAAAATTACATTTTGTTACGTTTTATTCGATGTATTTTTACAAAAGGATGTCGTGCATTTCAATGGATTTTTTTTTCTTCAAAGTATTTGTTTTACCGCCGCTGAAGGAGGCGACAGTCGCTCAAATCAAAAGTCACTCGAAGCAAACACAAAATTGCGGGTTGCCAAACCTTGCAGACAAAACAACTTAGTTGCAACCAGATTTTACTTGTATTCTCTCCGCGCGTCTCTGATACTAACCTTCTATCTGCATATTTAGAGTTTCACGTGAGTGATTCGTTCTGGGGATTGTTATGTCCTTGCGATGTATTATGTATTATTCAAAAAAAAAACTATTTTTTAAAGATTTGTTTATACCTATATTTGGAATTGATGCAGTTGTCAAACAGTCTGACGCAGGATGCTAATTTTCTCTTAAAAAGCATCAAAACCTCATAATTGTCGAATTATCACATGGGACAGTTATGCGTTCACCTACAGTACGTCGGTTAGCGAAAGCAAGTCTGGTACAATAGGTCGTGTGAATAAAAATAATTTCCTTTCCTTTCCCGTGCTTTTCTTACGGAGCGATAAACTCTTTTATCCATGACCTAATTATTGTAAGGTGGGGCAAGGTGGGAACTAATACATTTATTGATTTATTTGTTTGTCAAAATCATGATAGATTGATTTTTCAAACCTACCTTGGGGCTACACTGAGCCTGTTGATGTTGATAAAAAATATCCAGTAGCCCCACATTACCCTAAATTTGTCGCTCTTTCCTCATTTAAGCTGCTTATGGAGCAATGATTGTGACGTCAGAAGCACATTCCAGAATTAACGTACGTTAGAGACGATATGATGGGCATATCAGTAATGATGAATCATATTGGCGTTGACGGCACCGTCGAAAAATCGTCTCTTCTAGCAAATATTTAGTTTCTCATGGGAATTTTCAGTAGAGTGAAAGGATAGTAGGATTTTAGCATAGGAGTAAAGAGCTACAGAGTCGCCGTCAACGGCAATGGGAACATTTCGAATTGTTGATTTGGTCAGAAAGATCTAGACGTTCCTGAAAGCTTGCAAAACCGTTCCATTCGTTAATAGACCTAGCTTTATTTCAAATATTACTTTTGTTTACAGGCTAGTTTGTAACTATGCATTCCTTTTTGTTTTGTTTATTATTATAGTAGTAATGATTTTTGTTGCTTTACCTAGGCAATGTTTGTTCTCTCATCTGTTTGATTTATTTTTTAATTTGTCACTTGGTATCTGCGCAAATCTGTTGTATAAGCATAACTATTGGTTTTCCTGTCCTCGTCTAACAATAACAACAAGTTTGCAGTTCTAATCGTTATGTGAGTACCATAAGTACTTGCTGAAATATTACCGGAAATGAGCGCCGTAAAGAATGTAGGACAAATTAAATAAGGAAATGAAGGGAAGATATAAAATAAATAGACTGGCTTCGAGTCGCTTTTCCACTTTTTCCGCATACGAATCCGGCCCAAAACAACCTTCCTCTGAACACACTAGCCCGGAAAACCGTTGTTTGCATGGAACTAGTTTAGTAGATTTGGATGATGCCCGATTCGAGCAATTTCTGAATCTTCGATGCTACCTGAGGATTCTTGAGATGCCTATTGGAATGGAAATAATTCGGTTATGATGCATTGAAAAGACATTAAATGTTACTTACTCCTGGACAGCCTTCGGGTCATTTTGCATCTGTTCTAAGATAATTCGCATGGCTGGATCCTTAAGGATCTGCTGCACTTCAGGATCGTTCATGGCCTTCTTCCAGACTTCCTTGGGATCTGAATGTACTGCCATCGTGCAAGCTCGGTAGCCTTCTAGCGCTTCAGCGTTGTTGGGGTCAATCTCCAGCGCTCGTTGATAGGCAGTTTGAGCTTCCGAGGATTTCTGCATCACCTGCAGAATTTTACCTTTACGAATCCAGCCCTTGATGAAGGATTCGTCTAGCTTGCAGCATGTATCGCAGTCCTTAAGGCCGAGGTCGAAAGCGGCCAGCTTCGTGTAGCAAGCTGCTCGATTACTGTATAATTTTGCATCCTCCGGGTTACGCGCGATTGCTTCCGTGTAATGTTTAACCGCTGTGCTGTAGTCACCTTTTTTGAAGAACTCATTACCCTGCTCCTTCTCTTCCTCGGCCTTAGTCGGGTCGATGTACGCCAGTCTTTCGTATTCCTTGATTTTCTTCTCCGTATTGCTTAGCAGAGCCTTAACTTCAGGTGTCCGATGTTCCGAAAGACTCTTTTCGAAGTACGTCTTGGCAGATTTGTAATCTTCCAATTTTCGATAAGCATTGCCAATTCGCGTAAACGCTTTCGCAATCAGCTTGTAGTCGGCCCGGTTCTCACGCCCTACCTCAACCGCCTTTTCGCATTCAGCGATGCACAACTGGAACTCCTTTTGCTCAAGGTATACGGCGGCAATATTATTGTGGAATGTGATATCCGTCGGGTCGTGCTGGAGTGCTGCATGGTAGTGGTTCAAGGCGGACGCAAAATCCTTCTTCTTGTAGAATTCGTTGCCGAGTTCTTTCTCCTTGCGAGCCAGTTTCTTGTTTTCTGGAAGATTCTCTTCCTCCTTGGATGCCATTTTACAGGATTTGAAAGATTAAAAGCACTTGACTTCTCTGTCTCCGATAGTTTTATTTACCGCTTATTTGCACAGTCCTGTTTGATGTGATTTCTGCAAATAGGAAAATTATAGACTCAAGTTGACTTCAGCTGCTTCTTATAATGCAGTGGAAACCGATTCGAACAATCGAGAATGGAAACATGCGCTGTCTGTGTTCGGAGAAAAATATCATAGGTGTGAAGGAGATAGCTACACATCGAGAAACGTCAAGAACTATCAAGTTATTTCGGGCGAATGACGAGGCGAATTCAGTTTCAAATGCGAAAAATCAAGGGGTTTACCGATGGGTAATTGCACAGGGTAGTACAAATATAATTATTTTATAATTGGATTGTTTAGGAATATTGAGGTAAATACCTACATATTCGTAATCTGCCGAAAACGGAAATTTCAACAATTTTGGTGCACTGAAACTATTTTAAATAAGTGCGATTACATTAGCCAAAATCACTATCTTAGCGCCCCTCGGAGGGACTTTGTATGGGAGCGAGCTGTCAACTAATAAATTTAGTGTCGTATAGTATCGTTTAATGTATACATTAAAAATTTAAATCTTGATTTAAAAATCGAGCTGAATTTCTATTGGATCAACAAAAATATCGTTGTGCTCAGAAAACGATGCTCTTTCTGATGATGTACAAAAACCGGTATGTTTATCGAAATTAAACAACCGCAATGTTCATGATAGTTTTGTATGAAGTGATATTTTGCGCATTTTGCACTACTTTAGACTACTGTGAATCGAATAAGGCCAGAAAATTGAATAAACGACTTATTTGAAAGCATTGGCAGTTTTAGAACATTATTAACAAGCTACAATAAACTCAATATTTGAATTTGATGACCAGTGCAAAATCTGCAATATTGATTTAAAAATCGAGATGGAAGTCTATGGGGTCGTAAAAATATCGTTGTGCTCAGAAAACGAAGCCGTACAGATGATGTATAGTAACTTCAGCTTAGTATCATTGATCGATACACTTCATCAACTTTCTCTTTTGGTACAGAACCGTTTCGTGTTGTTTATTGTATTAGAAGCTAGATGGTAGCTTTTTTTATCGATCTGTGTGCTGAACATAGCTGGCAGTGTCTTAACATGGCCGTGAGGATCCAAAGAGAAAGTCGACGAAGAGTCTGTCAATGTTACTTAGGACCTAATGCATTGTTCGTCTTGAATTAAGGACCCAATTGGCTTGTTTAGAGGTATTGAGGTAAATGTATATTCGGGTGTACATTTCGTGGTAAACTATTTCACGGAATTCCATTTCGCGAAACGTATCTTTCCTCGGAAAATATAATTGGGTAAATCCTCAATTGCTAACTGCTTTGCGTCACTAGGCTAAACGCCATGAAATAAGGATTTTATTGAGGATCTGTCGAAAACTCATTGCGATAAGTAACGTACAACTCATTCATGCTTCACTGAACACTAATCTACATAACTGATTTTCATGGGATTATTAATTTAAAACTTAATGATCGCGTGAGTACCTGGTGGCAGATAGAAAAGAATGAATGATGAATGGTTTCATTCTATGGAAGTTTTCCGGTCTTTTAAAATCAGGCTGTTCTTTTGAATATGTAATTTTTTATTGAATTAAAAAATAAATAAATGGACTTTTAATGTACGATAAATCAACACCGTAGGTGGATATTCTCTGATAGTTTTCCTTCTTTAGCCTATTTATGAAATATATATTTACAAAATAAAATGATAGCAGTGCCAACATTTCAAAGGGGCGTAATTGTTTTTGTGAACAATGGCTTTGGCCGTCGATTTCTCGCGAATGAAAGCTCACTCATGAAGGTTAATGACACCAGCAGGTTGATGAATGTTTTCTCTACCAGCAAGCATTGTTAATTTAGAGGGGTGTGCTTTTATTTGCAAGAAATCGACGGTTAGGGCCATCGTTTACAAAAGAAATTACGCCCTTTTGAAATGTTGGCACTGATATACAAATTATACGCAAAATACATCAATTTGTAAATAAAAAGCGCTTATTTGTACGTCACCGTCACTTTTTTCAGGTAGGCACCCCTGGTATCCGATTTATTTACGAGGCTGCTTGAAGGAGGTGCTCCAGGAGACATGTGTCATGTCTAGGAGCACAGACCGCACAGACAGACAATGTAAAACTATCCGTCATGTCTACGAGTTTAAATGGAACTGGGAATTCGACGTCACACTCGATGTTACAAAAGAACGGCGGGAGTATTGAAGATACGACATTGCCATACCTGTTCCCTTGACATGGAACAAGGAGTACCGGAGAAAAGTGAGGTTATTTAAGCGAATAAAAAAACACCGTTTTTCAAGAGTGAACTTCCTAAATTTCTACTTGGAAATTTCACGGTTCTTCTTTGAGCGTATTGGGCAACGGAACCTATAAATTGGACACAAACGGAGACTTGGATGATTCACTGTTCCATCAGCTCAGAAAACGCACGTTTCTACTGGATTCTTTTGTGCTGAGAAAACAGAACTAAACTTTCTTACCTCTGTGGGTGTTAATTACGTTTTAATAAAATCGATTGTTGCTTTTGTTCACTGCGATCTTTAAAAAAAAACGCTTCCACACGACTGACTTGCTTTTATCTGCACACTGCACAAATTTACGTACGTAATGCAATCACAAACTCACGATTGAAGAACAACATCAACATCTGTTCGTTAACAGAAACTTCTAGATCGTTCTGGTTTTGTCTCCACCCAGTTTGTTTACGTTATTTCCAGCCGAATAATGGATTAGGTCCTAAGTAACAATGACCGAACCTCTTCATCGATTTTCTCTTTGCATCGTAATGGCCATTGAAAGACATTAAAAATAAATTCCCACTATTATCAACATAAACTATTATCCATCGCATCTAATACGCCGATCACGATGAAAAATTGTTTTAATAGCCCAGTTATTAACGAAAGATAATGTCGGTGAGGAGAATCGATTAATGTAACTTAGGACCCAATCCATTGTCCTGCTTGATATCGTTCCATCGAGTGGGTTCAATGTCGCTCGCTGGTTTCTGCCCGCCTAAAGCCCTCTAATAGAGCTTTAGAGCGGTGCGACATCTATATTGTAACGACATCGGTGTAGCGATGCCAACAACTGCATGGCCGTTCAATCTCCCTCAGAGAGAGAGAGAGAGAGAGAGGGCAACTTCTACTCAGATGAACGAGAAGTTAAAATTTTCTGAAAACGTATACGGCGAATGAGAACGCTCCAAATTTGAGTTTAGTTCACTCATACACAGCAAAAAAAATGTAATATCGATCAATGTAATTCAAGCTGATGTATGAAATAATGATGTAATAGCAAAAAGCAGATACAATATTACATCAATGGATGTAATTTTGTTCGCAAAATCGATGTACATCGTACAATATTACACGACCGGCGGAATGATCTCTGTGCAGCTGTTTGGATGTAATATTCAACAACTTTTTTTTACTGTGTATAATAGTTACCATAGCAACAGCAAAAAAATGTAATATCGATCAATGTAATTCAAGCTATGTGCATGATGCAAAGAAAACCAAGACATTGTATGCACAGGTGAAACGGGAACCTTATTTGTACGATGGTGCAAACATTATAACGCATACGGTAAAATTTAATATATTGGTGCCATCCATGCGGATGAGTATCGATCTATCTGTTTATGTGAATAGATGGTCCTAACGAAAATGTTTCGTTTTGGAGTTGTTAAATTTCTGGCGCACTGGTAAAACAGGCACACCGTGAACTGTCCATAATCTTACAAATTCAAATGCAATTTTAAATTTGTAGCATAGCTCAGATCTTACCTTATACCCTGGACAGACTATGGCTTATATCATGTAATATAGGCTGTCTTGCAATGAGCACTCATACATAGGATTTCCAGTGAAAACTAGATGTATGAGTGCTCATTGCAAGCTAGCCTATATTACATGATATAAGCCATAGTCTGTCCGGGGTATTAGGTGGATACACTCAAAGGATTTAAATGACACAAGTCATTGATCGACAGCAAATAAACTGCCTACAGATATCCATGTACAATTTTAAACGTAATAAAAACTATTGTTGTCATCCATGCATAGATTCTTTTTTCATACCTATCTCTGCTGGGTGTTGCATAACTTTATTCCATGCGACTAAATTCACTATCAATTCGGCAGACAGGTGATTTTTGTGACATTTTCAATTTTATAGGCAACGAAATAGCAGGAGCATTGGTGGCTGTATCTAGTTGCAAACCACAACCACCCGCGGTTAACTTGATATTTTACTGTTATACGGAGTATCGCGGAAAACTGAACCGCAAACCCCGGACACTCTTCCAGGTGCCTAGAACGGATGATATGAGTATTCTGACAGGATTTTTTTTTAATATATCTAGTTTGAAACCAGTGATAGTGGTCAAATACGTCGAAGTGATATTGCTATGGTTTAACTCTCAAACCCCCAACGTAAAACAACAACCACATTTCAATTTAAATAACTTAAAAATTCTTTCTTGATGAGTTTGCGGAGTTTAAACATCTGTTAAGAAATGACAGATTAATGATAGTTTTAGCAATTTTAAGTATCAGAAAATTGGGATTTGAGAGTCAATAGGGTGTTCCTTGTAGGGAATAAGGTCCTTTGAAGTCACATTTGTGCGTTGCAAAATTGGATTTTTAATTTCCATCAAGGCATTGTATTTCAAGGATATTCTTTTAGTCATCATCCTATTTTACTACGGTCTGGGCATGATTCCACCTACCATGATTGACACACGGCTCGTCCATATATAGCGTAGAATGAGGTAAAGGTAGTAGAAAATGCATCTCTGCGGTAAAATGATGGAGTTATAAAGTGATATGAAATCAATTGTAAATTGGCCGTATACATGCTGCATCGCAAGTGTGGTTTTTTGGCTACCACGGGGCTCAGACTGTGATAATCCCGTTCCGGTTAGTGCACAACTGCGGTCGATCATCAATCCACGAACGATACACACGTTGGAAAGACAACAGGTGCGGTGCAACTAGCGGTTTTCGCAGTCTGTGGTGGCGTAAAAGCGACAGAATTTAGTAAATTAAAATATCCACTCTACAATTCGTGGCGACGGATTCTGTTACATTGTAATTAAACCGAGAATGGACGGTTCGACGTCTCTTTCTAGTTCAGTCTCACTCCACCACTTCACAACGAAAAATTGTAATTGATTCAATTCAATTTGGACACGATTTATTGGACGGCTATTAAATTAGATTGATATTGAAGGTAAATTATTTCCAGGAATTATTAATGGAATTAAATTTCAGCCTAGATATAGCGAAAATTATCAATGAAATATTGTTGATGATGGGTGTATTGAAATAGTGGGATAACTGCTATCTTTTTTTTATCCAGCAAACGATGTTTTATGATAAACAATCTCGATGCATAATTTATGCAAAGTGGAGGACTGATCAGTTTATATCCAGAATACACATAATGATGCTGTCCACATACCACGTAGACATTTTAGAGGAGAGTGGAGGCGAGGGGCACGCAATACAAAGAACCAGTGCGTTGAAGTTGAAATGCAATCAAAAGTACTTAAAGTAATTAATGCGTTTTCAAGTAGTGCTGACGGTAATTAAAATTATCTATCCGTAATTAATGTAATTAAAAGTATTGAAAATGTAATTAATTACGAAATTTCAACTGTAATTAATGGAGTTAAAAAGTAGTCAATGTTCTACATTGTGTAATTAATGTAATTAAAGCAGTAGTTAATGAAATTAATTTAAATACAGCCGTTGCCTACGTTGGAGTTAAAGGTTATTGCGTGCCCTAGGGTGGAGGGGAAGATGTGTTTGATGAGTGTTCACGGTCCATACAATTTTTGTACTGTTTGTTCTAAGGACATGGTTGATAGAATCCACAAATGGCCGTTATCATGGCTGATTTGGTTTGTAAAATCAGCCATGATAGCGGCCATATGTGGCTTCTATCAATCTTGTCCTTTATTAGGGTGGATGAGTCAGCAGGGGAGGATCTAAGACCATTTATGTATTAAAAAAAATACAACGATAACGATATGTAGCCCTGCCCATGGACATGGAGGATGACGGTACTGAAGCAAAGAGTTATGTTTAATTTCTTATCACCTTCTCAATGCTTCAGTATGCCTCAAACAATTAATTCTTGGTTGTTAATAGAACTTCCTGCTAATAGAACTGTTAATAGAACTAACTGCTTCATGCAGACTGAGCAATTCTGATTATAGTATCAGATTTGTTCTGTATACAGAGGAACTGGGAGGGCTTATTGGAAAATTCTCACCAATAAAGTTATGATCTTCTAGTAAATTTTGCATATAATTTTATTCATATTTTATTTTATTTAAGCATATTATTTTTGTTACATTAAATTCGCATTAGCATACGATACAAGAGATTTAATATTACTTGCTCGTTTTTTGCGTATTTATTCTACTTGTAATTACCTTTGAAATTTTTTTTTATGATCTGAATTTTTTTCCAGTTTGGTTAGAAGTTTCGAAGAAAGATAGGCAGAACAAGTGTATCATGAAGAATGGTTGCATGCAGGGTTGCTTCCACTCACTTGCTATAGATGAGTTATTTTCGGAGTTTTGAATTCGTTAGATGTTGTAATGGAGATTTTTGTTGTTGGATGTGGGAGGAGATTGGAGGGCGGGTATTTGACGCATAGAGCCGGTTTTATGATTCGTGAGCGCTCGTGACTCGTAGAATCGTTGATTGTGACTGCAAGTGGATTTGGCGGGTTTTGTGTGTCGGACGCTTGCTTTTTAGCCTCCTCTTGTGTCTAACATGTGCAGAGTATCATTATAGCGTCTAATGCTTTTGAGATTCCTCGTTGCGTGAAATATATTTTTTTTGAGAATATCTTTTTGAGATTTTAGTAGTCACGTTTTGTTTGTAGTTTGTATTTTATTTCTTTCATGTAATTATCGCAAATAATAGTTATTCAATAATAAATAGTTCATCCATATATTCGTACTTTGAAGCAAAGCGCTGTGGAATATGAGATGCTCGATGACCCTGGAGGGATCGATTTTGCTTACTGAGCAGAAAATCATGGATTTAACCCCAAGCTCTTTCACAGCACAATAAACCGCCACCATCATTTGTATATTTGGTATTGAACATTAAGCTCGGAAACTATTTGCATATCAAGCGAAAACATAGTCCTGTATTGTCGCGAAGCGTTATGGTTCTGAGATGCTCGATGACCCTGGAGGGATCGTTTTTGCTTACTGAGCAGAAAATCGCAGGTTTAATCCCAAGCTCTCCGTCATGACTATTAAAATTCATGATCACTAAACAAAATGAATATAGTTGAAGATGCTAATTTCAAATAACAGACTGTAGTGGTAATTTTTATACGATAGATGGAGTAGATGAAAGCATAGAGTTGATATTTCCGTTAAAGTACGGCAGTGTGAAGATTGTATATAGATATTAGAGTAGCGAGCTAGGACAACTTTTAAGGAAGGTACAAATCGGTTTTTTCATCTCTCTTTACCAAACTCCCCCTTTGGAGAGGGATGGTGAGGGGTGTCCTCCCCCCGCCACCACTGGCAAAAAGAGATGAAAAGTGACCCGCTCAAGTACCAACTGTGTGTTTGAAACAGTTCTACCGATTTTT